ACGTATTAGGCAAACGGATTCAAATATAAATAAGGAAGGAAGAGTTAATATTTTTAATTTTTTAAAAAAGTCCTGGCAATAAGTTCTGGTGTTTAGTCCCAGTGAATATCGAACAGCTCTCTTCTGGAGCTTGAAAATCCGGTCAAATTGAGTCGCACAACACGTACCCCAAAATGGAAGGGCATATCTGAGGTGCGACTCAAAAAGTGCATAATACACAGTTCTAGCCACTGACAAGTTAAGCTCCTTAGAAACAGACCTTAATGCAAAACAGGCAGAGCTCAATTTTTTCGGCAAAGCATCGATATGCATGTCCCATTTCAGAGAATTGTCTACAACAAGCCCTAAGAATTTTTACAGACCTTATGTTTTACTGTCTCCCTCGCTGATCTTTTTATCGTCTTTCTCATATCGTTCTACTTATTCTTTTCACGATTTCATCATGACCGACAATTTTACGCCACAATAAAATTAATTTATCACATATCTAGTCTCTGTATGTTGGCGTGAAACTATGTAGAATTGTATAAATTGCTTTTCATCTTTATAATTATATTACTCTCCGATTAATCGTATTAAAATAATTAATTTATGTTTAAATATATTGCTCTCTATTCAACCACAAACTTAATAATGATGCAAATCGATATTCAATTCGAACAAAATTAATATAAAAATTAGGTTATAACCAGTCTACCGCAAAATGCGGTTAATTAATATAATAGCAATAGGTAAATATTGTTTAAATAAGTATGTTTTATTGGAAATTGTACAAATCGAGGTACAAATTTAAATACTATTAAAAATTATAAAAAGTATTTGATTTTAGCGTTCTTGATCACATAGTCAGATATATTCTTTGACATCGCTTGATGTTTAAAGTCATAGGTTACTGGTTAAAATAAAAAAAAATATACGCTTTATATATATATATATATATATATATATATATATATATATATATATATATATATATATATATATATATATATATATATATATATATATATATATATATATACACATCTCGATTTAGAGCGTCATCAGCTTCTAGGTTACGAGCTTCCATTGCTTCCGTAACCGTTCCGTTCCAGGATTTTCTAGGTCTACCTCTCTTTCTTCTACCCTGGGGAGCCCATTGAAAAACTCTTTTTGGCCACCTGTTCTCCGGCATACGCAGAACATGTCCAAACCATTTTAAGCTGGATTTTCCGATTCGATCCAGTACTGTCTCCTCCGATGCATTCATGATACGCCTGACCTCGATGTTTGTCTTTTTTTCCATCCTAGATATACCTGCACTTCTTCTAAGGTAGTCCATTTCAACAACTTGGATTTTGCGCTTCGCGTCTGCACTCAGAGTCCATAGCTCTGAACCATAGCAAAGAACTGACTCTACCAATGTTCTTCCAAGTCTCTTTTTAGTTGTTGCAGATAAGTTTCGGTCCCACCAGAGGCTGTTAAGATATCCAATAACTTGTTTGCTCTTCTGAATTCGGGTTTGTATTTCTTCTTTGCCCAAACCCTCGTTGTTGATAGTTGCACCCAGGTATTTAAATTTGTCTACTTGTTGAATCTGGACGTTATCATTAATGAAGACTTCAAAACGAGCGTTGGAATTGACAGCTAAGTATTCGGTTTTCTTTAGACTAACCTGAAGTCCCCATTTGTTGTATTCTTGATAAAGCCTCTTAGTCATGAACTCTAGATCGTATGAGTCCTGCGCAATCACGACCTGATCGTCTGCAAAGCTCAGGGTAAATAGTGTGTTGTCCCCAATGGGTACTCCCATACCTTGACATTTCGTCTTCCATTCCCTAAGTGCTACTTCGACGTAAGCGTTGAAGATCAGAGGAGATAAGCTGCATCCTTGTCGCAACCCTTTTGTGGTGTTAATTGGATTAGATAGCCTGTGTCCTATCTTAACGTACGATTCATTTTCTTTATATAGCTCTTTTATTATATTAAGCAAAGGTCTATCTACTTCTAAGATATTCAAGACTTCCCATATCTTGCTGCGGGGAATAGAGTCGTACGCTTTCTCCAAATCAATAAATGCTAGATGGACTTCTTGATCTACTGCTATCTTTTTTTCCATCGCCTGCTGCAGGACAAAAAGGTTATCTGTGCAAGATTTCCTCGGTGTGAATCCGCTTTGGTCTTCCGAGATTTTGTCACCAATACTGTCCCTGAGCCTACCCTGTAGCACCTTTCCAAAAAGTCTGCTGACCGAACTGTTAATGCTTAGGCCTCTATAACAAGGGGGGTCGTTACGATTTCCCTTTTTAAAGATGGACACTATGTGAGCCACTCGCCATTCTCGGGGTAGTTTACTTTGCAGGCAGCACTGGTTAAATAGCTCTGCCAGACGCCAGCGCAGTCTTTGGGTTCCACACTTTAACAATTCCGCTAGAATATTACCAGGACCTGGTGACCGTCCATTTTTCATTCTTTTGAGACTTTGATATACTTCTCTTTCGCTTATCATTAAAGTGCCTGCAAGGTTGTTCTCATCTTCTACTGCTTGGAATTCTGGTCGGTTTTCTGTCAGTAATTCCGCATAGTAGTTGCGCCATTTTTCTATATCCATTCTATTCAAGAGCTTGTCCGTTTGATTGGTTTTCATTTGTCGTATTGTTCTCCATACCTCAGTACTCCGTGCGCCCCCTATTAGGCTTTCCACTTGCTGGCACCTTCTTTCCCAAATATCTGTTTTTCCTACCTTAATGGCGGCTCGTACCTCTCTATTTTTTTGCTTGTAATGACTCCAGTTAGTATCTGTTCGGTCTGAGAGATCTTTGATAGAATATTATATATAGATATATATACAGATAGATAGATATATATAGATAGAATATATATATATATATATATATATATATATATATATATATATATATATATATATATATATATATATATATATATATATATATATATATATATATATATATATATATATATATATATATATATATATATATATATATAGATAGATAGATATACGCTTTAAAAACAAATATTAAATAACTTAATCACGATTTATTTTAAAAAAAAAATAAGAAATTATGGTAAGAATAATGGCAGGAAATAGATGTGTCAGCGCACTACAGAAAATTATTAAGAATAAAAACATCTCTAGAAGTTTAAAAATCAAAATGTACGAAACAATGATACGACCAATAGTTCTGTTTGCATGTGAAACGTGGACGTTCAATGCAACGGAAAGTTCGAGGCTAGAGATTCGGGAAAGAAAAATACTGAGGAAGATTTTTGGAGGAAAGAAGATAGACAACATATGGACCAGAAGAACAAATGAAGAATTAAAGCATCTATATCGGGCACCGAGTACAACGGGAGTAGCAAGAGCACAAAGACTGAGATGGCTGGGACAAATTGAAAGAATGGCTGAAGGAAGAGTTCGTAGTATGATAATAAAATGTGAAATAGGTGGAAAGAAAAGGAGGGATAGACCGAGAATCAGATGGAAACAGGATGTAGAAGAGGACTTGAGAAGGATAAGAGTGGATAGGTGGAGAATAAAGGCGAAAGACAGGAACAAATGGAGCCAATCAAGCCATGAGCCTTTTGGGCTTACTAAAATCTTGCTAGGATTGCCTAGAACTATTATATAATATACAATAACGATTTATTTTAGGTACCTATAGGTACGTGTATAATTAAAAATTTGACAAATAATGATGACATAGCGTTGAACGATGGCTTCAAAGTCTTTATATTTTTTTCGAATTGAAACCTCTTTTGACTAGTAGAATAGTAGAAAAAAAATGTGATTTTCCTTTGAAAAAATGATCTATAATAATTTTTTAATCGTTCAATTCCATGGCAGCTACGGTCAATATTATTTGACATTCGAACAATTTAATTTTGAAATAGATCGCCACATATCTTCTCTTTATGGCACAGCGGCTGTGGTAATCACTAAATTTGGCGTTTAGGCTATACAATTTTTTTGACAGACATTTTTTTTCTACAAAAATTTTAAATATTTTTTTTCTCAAAAACGGTTAATGTTAGATAGAGGGTGTTTGACATCAAAATTCATAACATCTTACCTAAGAGTTTGAACTAATGAATAGTTCTTTCCATAAAATCAATAAAATGAAAAATATACTAAATAATATACATGTACTGATTTCTTTCGAAAATCGACAACTATGAAACTATGAACCCTTCCCGGATACAAACGGTACATTGTGAGACAGGAAATTGTAGAAAGAAATAAGCCCTTTAACATAGGATGCAAGATTTTAATGAACAGTGCCTTCCATAAAATCAATAAAATGAAAAATATACTAAATTATATACATGTACTGATTTCTTTCGAAAATCGACAACTATGAAACTATGATCCCTTCCCGGACACAAACGGTACATTGTGAAACAGGAAATTATAGAGAAAAACAAGCCTTATAACATAAGAGACAACATTTTAATGGACAGTTCTTTCCATAAAATCAATAAAATGAAAAATATACGAAATAATATACATGTACTGATTTCTTTCGAAAATCGACAACTATGAAACTATGAACCCTTCCCGGACACAAACGGTACATTGTGAAACAGGAAATTATAGAGAAAAACAAGCCCTATAACATAAGAGACAACATTTTAATGAACAGTTCTTTCCATAAAATCAATAAAATGAAAAATATACCAAATAATATACATGTACTGATTTCTTTCGAAAATCGACAACTATGAAACTATGAACCATAAGAGAGAATTTAAATATGTAATAAAAAATGGGGGTACCCATTTAAAATAAGAAAGTTGCTGTCGACTTCCGGTATTCCCGGAAGTGCTACCATTTTGAAAATATTTTTAATCGATAGATCTCGTTGTGAAATAATGATGTGAAAAAAAACAGTTATAGATATTCTAGTTCTCTAGAAACTTCACACTCTCACCCTGGGACACCCTGAATACAGACATACCTATACTTAAATAAGGTTAAATGTATATTTCTTTTATAGGTCCCGCCCATTGACTACCTACGACAGGTGACAGCCGACCTAGGCGGCGCGACAGGCACGTCGGAGGCTAGTCTACCTGGCAACGTCGCCTCGACTTCAAGGTCATCAGTGGCCACACTCATCAAGCGTTTTAACGAGGTAACTCGATTTATTCCGTTATGTTTTTGTTTCTTTGCTATACATTTAATTATTTACATTGATCTGTCATCAATTATGACACTAAAAAATGTCATAATTTATGACAGACATGCATTTTTTTCATTTTATGTTTTTGGTGGGATCTTGTTTTTCTCTGTAGAAGATCCTACTTTTTTTCCTTTGGTGATATATCTTTTAAAACAATATCTATATATATATACAATATTATTATTATATATATTATACCGGGTGTTGCATCGTCGAGCAGGACATAGGAAATCCCATGTAAATTTTAATGGGGTCAATTATTGACTTCCCTAATTATTTTAGAGAATAATTCTATTTAGGTTTATTGAAGAGCACTAAAACCCACATTCAAAAGAATAACTCTAGATATTTTTGATTAGCCCGTTTACGAGTTATCGCCGATTTTTTTTTAAATATTTCTCCTTTCTTATGGCCCTGTATTTACTTATGAGCACCAGTCAAGGTAAAAGATAACTGTCAAATGAAGTTGTCATTTCAGAAATTTATCTATTTAGTGCTTTATTATTATTATTAAAAACTCACACTTACATCGAAAATATTAGCCATGAATTACACTACCGAAGAAAAAGTATTGATGATTAAATGGTATTATCAAGGAAATAATTATCAAAAGGTGTCGGACATGTTTGCTGCTCTGTATCCGAACAGACCGCTACTTAGAAAATCTACAATCGCAAGGAATATCCAGAGATTTGAGACCAAAGGTACCCCAATAAATAACTGCAGATGTGAAGTAAAGCAGGAACAAAGACAAGATGCAAGAAATGATACAGACTTGGAAGTTTTATTGTGCGTGGAAGAGAACGATGGAAAGATCAGCACAAGGAAATTTGAGGATGAAATAGGAATAGATCACACTACAGCGTTTCGAATTTTGAAACGGCATAAATACTATCCTTCAAATATGAAAAGCACCAAGAGCTACGAGATGGGGACGAAATACGGCGACAGGCGTTTTGTTTTGATATGATGGAAAGAGCAAACACGGATAGGGAATTTTTAAAAAACATGTTTTACTGACGAATGCACGTTTACCTTAAATAATGAACCCAATGTTCAAAATTGTCGATATTGGAAAAAAAAACCAACACAGGTTTGTCGAAACAAGGACGCAATATCCACAGAAAGTAAATGTTTGGGCAGGGATATTCGGACACAATATTATCGGGCCATTATTTCTTACGCGAAATTTAGATGCAGAATATTATTTGGAACTATATACTCGAAAATCAAATTTTAGCTGCTTTACACGATGCCGCTAGGGAAAATCAGGAAGTTTGGTACCAAATGGATGGCTGCCCGGCACATAGTACCCTGGCTGTTCGGGAATATTTAGATAAAAGTTTTAACGGAAACGTTATTGGCCTAAATCATACAGTAAATTGGCCAGCAAGAATGAGTTTTCAATAATAATAAAGCACTAAATAGGTAAATTTCTGAAATGACAACTTCATTTGACAGTTATCTTTTACCTTGACTGGTGCTAATAAGTAAATACAGGGCCATAAGAAAGGAGAAATATTTAAAAAGAAATCGGCGATAACTCGTAAACGAGCTAATCAAAAATATCTAAACTTATTCTTCTGAATGTGGGTTTTAGTGCTCTTCAATAAACTTAAATAGAATCATCCTCTAAAATAATTAGAGAAGCCAATAATTGACCCCATTAAAATTTACATGGGATTTCCTATGTCCCGTCCGACGATGCAACACCCGGTATAAAAAAATGTGTATAAAGTGTGAGTGGCTCGCGATGATTTTTTTTAAATGGAACATCCTGTATATTATTGTATTTACTTTATGCTCGGGTATATAAAGGTTAAAAAATACGTCTAAAAATTCGACTGCCAAAATCTACCTTAGATTATTGCATTCTCTGCCTCGAACACGATTTCGTTTCAAAGAGGAAGCAATCGGGGAAGACCAGCTGTGCGAGAAGGCCCATATAGCTCACGCCACGCAGAGATAGGATCTGACGCCTATGGAGATATTTGTTTATGGAAGTAGACAGTTAACGCATTGTTCAAGGCCCTTTATCTTGGCCCATCTGGGCTTGAAAGGGCGCCAGGATAACCCGCAGGAAGTCTGAGCTATCGCGATAAACGCCCCGACGAAAGTAGCAGGTAATTAAGACGTAACCTATCGCATGAACGGACTGTTTATCTTCAGAATTACTGGGTTTGATTTTATCGAGATTTGTGTTAGAGATATAGAATTACAATTTTTTTTACACTATCCGTTCGTTACAAGCCTTTAATGTTGTAATTTAGATCCGTCAAAAACAAAAAAACATAAAAAATGCCAACATAAAAGTGTCGCAGGGCAGTTCTTGTAGAGAATGTAGAATGTTTTCTTGAGTTATAATAAGTTATCTCATCATACGGTCTCAGGGCTCTGATAAAAACCAGTATCTGAGATGGTTTTACAGAGGTTAGTTCTCAATCTCCGTTATCAGTCGTACCAAAGTTCATAGCACGAATGGTTGTCGTCTCGGCGCACTTAGTGATGAGGTGTTCTGGTGTTTCCCCATTTTCCCCAAAGAATATAACAACGAAGAATATAAATCAAACCTGACGAAACGAGAGCGAGACGAGAGCGAGGCAAGAGCGAGACAGGAGCGTGACAAGAGCAAGGCGAGAGCGAGATATCTTCTATTCATTTTTTGAGGCAAGCCTGCTATGAGACAATACAAAACAAAAATAAAGTGTTAAAACCAATGACAATGTTAGGAAGTAAATAAATAAATGGCGGCAACTTGACATTTTTTACAGCAGAGCTACCACCTCAGAATCCCCAGCGCGAAATTTAAATTCCAGTTAGTGTGTCCGGCGCCGAATATGTCCACGGTTGGCAACAATGGATTTAAAAATCGCGCCCTCAATTACGTAACTTAAAGTTTAATATACATTCTTTAGGTCTGAACTTAAACAAAATTTCCAAGTTTTTTATTACAGGAGCTACAAATGCCCGGCGCACTGTTGCCGGACCCTGTATATTTTCTCATCACAACTTGCACAACAAAATTTAGAAAACATTGACTCAAATAAGCATGCGAGAGGATTCCGTATACCTTAGTAGAAAGCCGGAAAGCTATTCTGTGGCAAATATTCGGCGAATGCATTTGGAACCAACTGTTATTTTACCATCGGTATGAGGAACATGTTTCCGTGAAACTATGTATGTTTGTACGTTTGGAAAATTTAAAATTCTTATCTGGCGGTATTGGCATTTTAGTCATTTCGCTACGAAACATGAAATGTCCAAAATGTTTCGTGTTTTTGTGTTTATTGAGCTAAGTAAAACTGACGCTATTTCTTGAATAAACATAATTAAATTAGCTAGTAATTGACTAAAATATAATTGCTTGAGTTATAGTGAGCTATACAGGGTGGTGGGCACCGTCCGTCGTTGGAAACATAGGAAATCCCATGCAAATTTTGAACTGTCCAAATATTGGCTCCCCTGTTAATTTTACAGCGTCATAAATCAAAAATAAGTTTTTTGAAGGTTTCTGAATTAATTTCGGGAGACGATAATGCAATTTTATCGTCGTGTATAAAACAATATTCTTTTCCATAGCGAGTTACGTTTTAAAAAATATTCAGAAATTATTATTTCAAGGAATTTATTACGAGTAGAAAAAATATTGTGCTGGGTTGGCGTTGGTTTTTATGTAATTTGACAAATAAATAAAGCTGTCTCTTTAGTTGTCAGTTTTGAGTCAATATGTTTTAATTATCTTTCCTGTCGATTGCTGATTGAGTTGGGGCCAGAAATGGCTCAAAACGAAATAAGTAAATTACCAACAGATATTCTGGCTGAGGCGACAAACGCTATATCCAAACTACTTCTATTTAAATCCCGAATAACTTATGAAAGGGAATACAAAAATTTTCAAAAATGGAAGCAATTAAAAAACGTGCGAGAAGAAATAGAGTTTTTAACCTATCCTCGCTGTTAATCATTTAATCTACCCTTGCGGTTAAAGTACTTTTTTATCTACTATCTCAGATAGATATAAGGCAATTTTAACAGTTGCTATGGAAAAAAAAGTTTTATCGATCTTTTCATAACATAACGCCATATGATGCACACATCTTTATCTGCATATAAATATGCTGTTGATATAACTAAGGAAACTGCAGGTCGCACAACGCTCTATGGAAGAACATATGCTTGACGTGACTTCACTTCAGTTAGGAGTTATCTAATATTTAATTAAAATTATTTATCTATTGCATAGATAATACTAGTACAAAATGCATTATTTCCCCAAGTTTTGTTCGTGCCACAACTTGTTTTAACACACCTTATCTACAAGCAAACATTAGTTAATATAACTAATTTAACTTGTTGAATAAATGTTGCGCTATTTTAAACGCGAAATATGAATTATAGAGCAAGTTTTGTACTTTGGGCCGAGAATGAGGAGTACACTAACGGGAAAATTTGAAAAGTTTTCCTAGAGGGCTTTGAGAAAACTGTTTTCCTAACCAAGATTAAAGTTGCAAATTTGTGTCAGTTAAAAGTCCGGCTAAAAGGTCGTTCTTTAGACCGAGAAAATATTAAAAATATATAGCGAAGGTAGAGAGCCTCTTTAAAGGAAATGAATTCTTCAGAAACTTTTGTTTTTAATTATAAAAAATGAGTTTATATTTTAAAAAAAATTGTGCGTGTAATATACATCTCAAAAAAAAATCTAATCCACTCTAACCTCTTTATAATATGCTCATTGTAATATATGTACAGGGTGTCCCAGGCTGAGCGTGCATTAAAAGTTTCTAGAGAACTAGATCTAGCTCGGATATTTTTTGTACATCATAGTTTCACAACTCTTTCACAAAAGTTCACAAAAACTTCAGGGGGTGATTTCTTGTTCAAAATAAAGGGTAGTTTGCTTCATAAACGTTGTGTCAAAAGTCAACCATTAGGGTGATATCGCGGTACAAAGA